ATAGTGAGAGAAAGCAACAAATTAACATACCTTTACATTTTAGGCAGAAGTACACAGCTTGCTGTCCTAACTCCCCTTTGTTTCTGACTTTATTGTCTAAAAATGTTGGATTGTGACTTGTCAGTTTTTATCAATCAGGTCACAGAATGTTGTTCTACAAAACAGTTTAGAGAATAGTCTGTCTCTGGGCAATTCTTGATTATGGGAGTTCATGTCCTGATTATCATTACTGTTGCCTACCAATTATAATTTGATCCTCTCCCAGTTTGTGGCATGTCATTGTATCAGTCCACCCGAGGATATTGTTGTACTCTACATGTACCTGTGAGTTGAAATGGAGTGTATATAATTAATTAAACTTGAATATTCATCTTAAGAGGGCTCCTTAAGTCCAGTATCCATCCTGATCACTTGCAAAAGTGGTTTGTTGGGCAAATCTGCAAAGAGGTTACATTCTATTCAAACAAATTCTCTCTGGTTTAGCTGTTGGTTTCTGTATATTCATACAACATTTATAACTAAAAGTTAAACCTGATCAGGAATTAGAGGTGAGAAAGGATGAAGTATCCAATTTGCCTTTTAATCACAGCCACAATATTTTCAGGGTATGCATCTTCCCCACAAAACATCTCGGTGTTCGTCCCAAGGTCTTTGTCCCTGGACTGCCAGGCTGGTCGTCTCCCCGCTGCAAGAGGCAAAGGGAAGCCAAACTAAAAGGAAGGATTCCCATCCCTCAAGTGGTTTTCAATTCCTAGCAGCCACACAGATAGATTTTCTGCATGCCAGTGTATCCATAACATGTTCTTTCAGGTCTCCCAGTGGTGCACTCATTGCCACTGTAACTGAATCCATCCACCTTGCTGCTGGTCACCTTCTCTTTTCTTCCACCTTTCCTAGCATTAGAGCCTTTTCCAGAGAGTTTGTTCTTTGCATAATGTGTCTGAAATAGGATAATTTGAGCCTGGTCATTTGTGCCCTGAGTGAGAACTCTGGGTAGATTTGT